AGCGCCCAGGGGCCAGAGAGGTGGAATGAAGGAGTCTTCCTCGGCACCGGACAGTTCGTGTGACCGCCTGACTGCCCAGCCAGTTCCTGAGGGCTGGAGTGCTGGCGATGGGGTTGCGGTGTGTGGAGTCGGTCGCGGTGGCGGTTTCCTCCCCTCGGGGCTGCTTCTCCCTTGGTCTGGGGCTGCTTCCCTGGGGCTGCTTCCTCGGCCGCCTCACCCTCCACCTGCGGCCTGCCTGCTCTTCCATCCTTATTTTTTTAAAAGATTATTTAAAAATGTGTTTGTTTGTCAAAACCGACCCTAGACCCCAGCTTTCCGGAGCTGCTGTTACTCTGAGGGAGCTCAGGTCAGTGTCCCCCGGTCGGGGTGGTGCTGGCGGCCACGTAGCCGCAGGGCCCAACGGAGGGCCTCTGAGCTGCTGCAGAGTCACCAGGGTGGTTTTCGAGATGGGTGTGGATGTGTACTCTTTTGAGTAAATGTATTGTAAAACCAAGTTTAATCTGCCTAAATACGGGCAAGGAGCAGGAATTGCTGCTGCTTTTCCGCATGAAAACCTGGAGCCAGAGTTCGACGAGGTGGCTCAGTGCATCCCACCACAAGCAAAGGTGGAGGCCCCATGCTGCATTCTCCACTCTCTTCTCACCCCGTGCTGAGCTGGTGCAGATCATTGCGCTAACAGAAAAATGACTCCTTTCTTTTTGTAGTTTTCTGCTGGTTTAATGATCTAAATAAACTTCCTGAGAGGGCAACTCAGCACATGGAAGAGGAGAGAGAGACCCATTTTTGTCAGAAAAAAAGTCATTAGATCAGCTTAGCCTTGTTGTCTAGCAGTGCCCTGAGTTGCTTTTGAGATGAATGAAGATGTTTCAAGCTTACACTGGAGCAGCAGAAAAAAAAATTGTCTGAAATACAGCAATTCATGTAAGAGGCTGATTCATGTAGTGAAAATACATTTTAATTTTCAAGAAACACTTCACAACTGGTTTTTTCCTAATAACTGTACATATGTATTAATTAATCACTAGAAGAATATAAAATTTGTATTAAGTGTTGATGTAGACAAAACAGAGAAATTAAAACCTAAGATCCCATCCACAGAATATAGTACAGGGTTTTTTCTCTTATGCACATTTGACTGTATATGCAGATGAAAACACAGGAGCTCTCTAGATGTCTCACTACTGCATAGGATTGCAGTTACCAATATTTTGATGTTAGTTGTCCTTGCTTTCTTCCCAACATACTTCTTTCCAGACTATGGCAAATTTTCTGGAAACCAGTTGTAAGATCTTTCACCATAAAATGATTTTTACTTTTGTTCTTGTCCGCATTTTTGAGAGTGGTATTAGACAATTCACTTTTGGTAACTGCTGCAAGGTAATACAGATGGCTGAGCACGTGCAATGTCGTGTTAATTCAGGGACAGAAATCTGTAGCCACTCTTACTTGGTGAGGTATTATACAGTATAACTGACTAACAGCCTCACATGCATCTGGTTTAATGTTTTGATTTATAGAAGTATTTCTAAAATTATAGTGTTCACTGAGGGACACTTACCTTTTTGTACTGTTGTTTGTAGATGTCGGGAGATCAGCACACTGATAGCTCTACTCAAGAGAGAGGTGATGAAGATCATGATGATGTAGTTGATGCAAGGCCAGATAGAAGTAGCAGATTCTCACTGTTTGGAAAGTAAGTTACTACTTTTATTCCTGTTACTGTTGTATTGGCTGTCAGATTACCCTTCTAATGGGATTTTGGTGTTCAGTTTGCCATGTCTACAATGTCATAGGTGGTCTGGATAGGGAGATGGTTATGCTGTATGGGTTTAATGGATCTGGTCTGTACCTTAAAGCATCTGTCTGCAGTATCTCCCTATAGCGAGATCTATAGTATCTCCCACAAGTTTTATTTGGTAGTCAAGAGACCAGTAAATTAATTTAGCATCAATTAGGGTCCCACATCTGAAACACTGCCCTTTGGTGGAGCTGGGAATTAAATATGCCATTAATTATCTGTTTTAGTGCATTCAGCTCAGCTAATCTCCTGCGTCACTGGAATCCCCTGCTGACTATTTAAAGCCTGGATGTGCCATCTATGTTGTAGCACAAAGAAGGCTCACTGAGTCTAAAGATGTAACCCATTACAGAACAAATTAAAAGTCTTTCATTTTAAAACAAAGTAGGCTCACTGAGGCATGAACTTACTTTTCATTAAATGTATAGGAAGCAAGAGGTATGTATTGCTTGTCCGTGCTCCTGAAAACACTGGATAAATGTGACTGAAAATGCAAAAATGGAAGATGACCATGCAAAATTTACAAATGCTATTGAATGTCAGCCAGTGGCTACTTCAGGCTGTGAACTTCTTGGATTAGAAAGATTTTATTAGGGGTGTTTATTACAAAGACTATTGTATTTACAGAGAGGTTTTGATTTTTTGTTACTGTTGGACATTCACATTCAAGTGAACAATATAATTCAGAGAAAGTACATGGAGAATTAATTTTATTTCTGCTTATGTGAGTCTAATGGGGTAACAAATCTCTGAGAGAAGTGAAGAAACTTTAGTCTTAGAAGACTTTTGATGTGCTGTTAAGCAAATCACTTTACTTCCTCATTCTATCATTCCTCAAATAGGTTTTATGATGTCTATGTGTATTATTAATTTTAACAGAATCTTGTCATGCAAAATAGACAGTGTAACATTTGTTTCTGAATCTTGCCAAACATTTTTCAAAGATTGCTTTTAGATTTTATAAAATGTGTGTTTTAATATCTGAATTTGTCTTCTTTATAAGAGTATATGCTAATACTGTTACTAAATTATGCAACTCAAAGTTGAAGGAAAGCAATAATCAGCATTTCTATCACTTTTTTTCTATAAGAAATTTTTCAAATAATTTGGCTTTGCATCAGCTTGGCATTCATCTCTTGGCAACTCCTTGAAGATACAAGTTGAAACAGTTTTCTTTAGAAGTAAAAAAATTGCTCAGATTAAATATGGGGTAATTGAGAAAATTCAACTTGGATTTTGTAGGAAAAAAAAAAAAAAAAAAAGTTTGAGAAATCTATCGGAGTTTCTTGAAGAAGGTGGTGATTGCCTAAAGAGGAACGAACTGGCTGACAGGAAGGGACTTGAAAATCCAAACAGTGACAAGGTCTCCATCTTATGGAAACTAAAACTCTTTGGCCTGAAAGAAGATAGGAGAGGAATGTGAGAGGATAAAGGAAGGTGGGATATGATTTAAAATCGTGACTGTAATGAAGGAGAAAGTGCATAGAGTGATCATTCCTTGTGCCTCACAGGAAATCTAGGAGATGTCCAATGAAGAGTTCATACAGTAGGTTTAGAACAACGAGTAAGATGTAATTTTCACGTAGTGAAGAATGCAGTTGCAGAACTTAATCACAAGTTATGCAGATGTCAAGATTTTAGATTAGTTCAGAAGAGATCAGATGTATTTGTGGAATAAAAGTCCAGTGGGAATATTGATGTTAAAGTCTCTGGTGCAAGATATTCTGTATCCAATTTTTTTGTTTGTTCTCTTAAAATTCATTCCTAGGCAGTAGCAGATACTAGGCTAGGTGTACTTTTAGTTGGAATCAGCATGGCTCTGTATCTTGATTGCCAAGGCTTCATTTTGGCAACATGAAATTAATACCTGTAAAATAAGATGTCTAGAAAGTTTTAGATTGACTACAATTTTATGGTCCATTGTTTTGTTTTAGCAACCCAGTTCTTACCAGTCATGCAGTGCTTTCAATGAAATTGTGCATTGTATTTCATTTATCATTGTTTAAAATATATAAGCTCAATAAGAGAACAAGTAACTTGTTAAATAAGTGCATTAATTTTAATTTAAGAGAACAGAGCAGTGAGAAACTGAATTCAAAGCTGTGCAGCTGTTTCCAGTAGCTTCACAGCTCCAATTCACCATTGTCTGGCTGTGATTGGAGATTTATCTAGCAAAAAGCAGTAATCACTCCTTCACTACAGTGTATTTCTCTGCAAGAAATCTGGGAGCCTGCTTTACTATGGAGGCCACAAGGCTCAGAACAAGCCATGGAGTGGACAGATTATTCTGGCTGCATCACAGTTTGTGCAAATTATCTTCTACATATTGTCTTTTCTTTGAAAAACTGCTAATACTTAGTTAATGTTGGTGGGGGAAAACTGGTGGGCAAAAGTGTTGAAAGAAGAAAGATTTGAATGAACATCTGCAGGTGGTGTTTGATTTAGCGCTTTTTAGCCACTAGATGGCAGGAGGATATCAATTTTGTTTACTACAACGGACAAAATTTAGGGAGAGTTGCCGTTGAGCAACATGCTTCAGAAAGCAGAAATAGCAGCACACACTATTGCAAGCCCGCGAGCAACAGAATTTTAGGACATGGTTGAACGGAGATTGATCTGAGGATTTAAAAATTGTATTTTAATTCTCTATGTGGTAGTTAGAAACTAATAGAATTTTTCCCATGTAAATTTTTATTTTCTATGCTGTATGTGCTCCTGTTACACTTTCAAGGCTTTAAAAATAGTCTAATTTCTCCACAGGATTAATGGAATATTTCATTTGGTATCTTTTTGTCTTTTATTGGAGAACTCTGTTAGTGAGATTGATAGCAGCAAACCTATTTTAACATACAGGAAACATAAAATAATATGAAATGGAATAGAATTGTGGTTCCACTGTATTAAGTAGAGCTAAGATTTCTCTTACTCCTAATGAGTTTTTGTTTGTTTGGTTTTTTTTAATAGCTGCATCTGAAAATTCCCAAGGCTTGGTAGAGTAACACTTGCACTGTCAATAACCGTGACTGTTTGTGGGCTTTGGTGATGAAGCATAATGCAGAAGGAGGTAGCTGTTAGTAGTATCTAGGTACCAGTTTTATTCTAACTTACTTGTGTGGAACCATTTGTCCTGTGGTTGCTTTTATCTACTCCAGCCCTACAGTCTTGTTTTACAGTCAATATTCCCCTTCTCATCTGGAAACAGAGAACATAATTTAAATATGTATTTAAGAATTCTTACAAATACCTAGTTACAGTTGAAACTATGCGATTCTGTAGTGCCCTTAATGCTTTAATATGAAATATATTGTAAGAAAATTCCACGGAGGAATTGGAGAGGCTTGTAGGATACACTGGCATCTAGTCAACAAGACTACTTCAGCTGTTTAACAGTGCAAACCTAAAATATCTATAAGGCATTTATTTCTACCAAGTCAGGCCAGTATAAAGTTTGAGACTTTTCATTGTAATTACTTTGAAAGTTTGCTGGAAATATCAGTGTGTGTCTTGCCTTCTGTAGTTCAATTGTTGTGATAGTTATACAGTTGTGATATCTACCAGGTCTGTAAACGAGTATTTAGACCAAAAATATTTACGAATATATAGGTTTTCTTTTCATTTATACAGTGTTTATTTGGGTTGAAGAGCATCAAAGTGGAGAAGCACAGATGTCACCAAGGCTGTCTATTTTAATTTCATGACCCTTATCTTAGTATAGCTGTATTTCTCAAAATAATTAGCCTTGTCCTTCAAAGAATATGTATTCGTTTTTGAGATTCAGCCCCAGATGAACCTCAGCTTTGAAGCTGTAACAGGTTAGGATAGTTGTTTTTGTTTCAGCTTTGCTTTTCTGTTGTTCTTCCATCTTCGAGGAGCTATTTTCCATCCACTTTTGAGTACCAACAGCTTGTTTTTGTTTTGTAAGAAGCTGCTTTGCAGGTAGAACTTCATGAAGAACAGTTTCACAGTGATGCAGATGTGTGTGTTCTCCACAGTTGTCCGTTTTGTACTTTTTGGGCCATTTGAAAACACCTGATCTTATAAATTGCTTTCTTTGTAGTAAAAGTACTACTGCTAGCATCATAATGCTTATGAAGAAACTGTATTGGCCTCCACAGCCAGAATGTCAGCTCTTCTGCCTTGAAATTAATATGCTCAAATCCAAATGATGCTCATTTTTTTATCATAACTTTTGCAGTTTTAAAATTAAAAATGCATTTCTGTTACAGGTTTTTCAGCAACAGACTACAGACCTTTAAAAAATAAATACTGCTAAGAAGGGTATCTCTTTTATCCTTGAATTAGATAGAATAAAAATAGCAAGTTTCTTTAAAACACGTAACAGCTGATGAATCATCTGAAGTTATGCTCTGCGCTGCAACTCAGAGGTCTTAACTGAACTCTTGGTTCAGCCTCCGGTTTCCTTTATATCTCTAAGCAAATCACTGTGTGCCTTAGTCTATCCTGTAAATGGATGATCTTTCCTTTTACTATCCTAACTCCAAAGTCTAACACAATATCGTTTTAATTTTGTTTGGAGTTTGTGGGCTCTGCTTTGCAGAAGTGAAGTATCAGTGTATTTTCCCCCAAAGTGCTGAATATAAAATTCCAGAAGTAATAGGTTCTGGCATCTATAGTCTGTTAATGCTAATTACTGCAAAGACAATAAAGAGATTTTAACATGGTGCAATAGGGATGTTTCGTTTTCATTAGTCTCTTTTAAGCCAGAGGTTGTTTTTTATTTTTTGTTGTTGCACTTTTTGTTAGATCAGAACACTGCAGGGGTATTTAACAATTAATGAAAATTGTGTTCAGTGCTTGTACTTTCCCTTGTACACTTACTGGAAGTATCGGATAGGAAATGCCCACATATCTTGAAATAGTATCTAGGCTAAAGT